TCCTGGGCTACAATACTGACCACCTTTCTTTTGCAGCTGCCCAATTCTCTCAGATACCTCTTTAACCTAACTTTCTCTTTCTCCAAGCTGCCATTATTTCCATCCTATCATCTCTTTTTCAGACATTAAATCTTTTCCACTGCCTCTGCTCTTCTAATTCTTCAGATGTTCTGAGCAGGAAAAGGCGGTCAAGAGGCAATTCCCAAATGCCCAACTGGGCACAAACCAACAGCTTACTTGGGGCTTTTAAAAAGCACAGCTTGTTTGCATACCATTGGTGGAAATTGGGGGACTGGATTCTGAAGGCTAATACGTATCTCTGTATTTCCTTTGTGATGACCCTTATTCTGGAAACACTGGCTTGATTGTTCAGTTAGTTTCTGCACAGTGTTTCCTGCCTTTGGGCAAGAGAAAGCTCTTTGCCCTGCATACCAGAATGACTTGTTCTGTTAGAAATTCTTTAGTGCAAAACCTTTTTGTTTGTGTGCAAATTTACAGGAAGGACAAATAGTGAAGATATATGCTTAAAAAGTTGGTTAACTCTCTTTTTGCCTTGTTCCATTGTATCATTCCCTGACCCATTTCTCAGAACATAATTTCACCAGTTAGCACAACAAACAGGGGAAAACGTAACAAAAACTAAAGTGTGCATTTCTGGAAAAGTTAAGACAAGCCTGAGAGTGAATGACAAGCCTAGAATTACCCTTCCTGACTCAGTCAGGAACTGAACCTTGGTTATTCCTGGTCCTTGTGTAACACAGAAAAGCCAATTTAAGAATACATTAATTGGTTTCTCTTAGCCAATAAATACACGTAGCTTAGAATTTAATAGTTTACTTGCAAAAATGTATTATTATATATGCACTTTCAGGTATCTTAAGCACTTCATACTTGCAGGTCTTATAATGGCTTTATAACATAGATAACACTATAGACCCACTGCAGGCTGGTCACATTCATACTATATACACTTCATAATGTATAGAATTCATCTATTTCTGTCTTTCCACAAAATACTGCACAATAAAGTAATTGGGCTGAGTTCAGTGTAGAAAAATGAAGGAAATATTGTCACACATAATCTAATAATAATGTCGACAGAGGTAGAATTTCTGATTTTCTACCCAAAGTTATTGGCAATAAGTGCATGTAGTTAAAAGATAGGATTAAACTGGATACTTCTCCACAATGCAGTCCATTCAAGTGCATTATGTTTGGCCTGAAATTCCAGGCAACTCCTACCTTGCACCTGTGCACCTGTTTTTTTTATACTTACATACAGAACCTGATTTTTCACGCTTTCTATTCATTTTGTTGAATAGGCTCCAATGTTCAAGTCTATTAAGATCTGTTTGATTTTTAGCTTCTCTTTTGAACTGTTAGTAGCCCTCTCTTCCAGCTTTGCATAATTTGTAAATTCGATGAGTATTTTCCTCCACATCTAAGACACTTATAAAAATGTTGAAGAACTCTGGTCCTGAGACAATGATATGTCCCTCTGCACACCTCCTTCCATATAGACATATTAAACAAGTACTACCAGATATATTTGGAGAGCTCCTTGATTTAGTTCTCCAGGATCTTGAGTGTAAGGAAGGCTGTGTCACTGGTAGAAGAAAACAACATAATTATGCAAGGAACAAGATGGTTGTTTCTCACTTCTGCACTTACAATTTTACTACTCTTTACTACTACTGACTTGCATTTTAAGCTGCAGCATCAGGACCACTGGTGCACCAGCAAGTAAATGTGAATTAGAGATCCTTCATCTTAGTTGATTATGAAACAGCAAAAAAGGCACATGATGAATGTTTTCTGTCTGTGTTCTCTATATAAAGACTTTATAGAAATAGGAATTAAGAGACACTAGTAATTCGGTTCTTATCATAGTATCAGCTTTTGGAAAACACCACAAGGATGAATTAACATCTTAACATTCACCTACTAAATAATTCACCATCAGCAAGTAGAGGCTCTGGCCAGAGTGGTTCAAAGGGTATGGTCTTCCTAGAACAGAAGAACCTTAAGTCATGCCCATATCACCTTCCAGTTAGATTACTGACATGTACAGCCACTTGGGTTGCTTTTAAGGATATTGAGAAACTACAGTTGATCAAAAATACAGCAGCCCCATCCTTTCAGTGTCCTTGCATTCAAAGTACGTTACACCGATTTAGCAGATTCTGCATGTTAGAAGGTATCTCCAGGAACACCACCTATTGTGAATATCTATCTGACCAACTAGATCTCCCAGGGAGGAACTTCTGCAAATCCTGAGTTCGGAAGGAAGGGGTTGAAGTGAGGTGATACAGCTTTTCTGTAGCAGTATCAATCTTGTGGAAGAGCCTTATTCTGGATATGATTATGGTGATTGTAATTGAAATTTATTACATTTATATGCTGCTGATTCCCAGCGCCTCTGGATGAGGAAGATCAGGATGCTTATCTCTTTGCTGATCATTTGGAAGATATTGAAAACAAATTGTTTTAAAAACTTTTCCTCAATGTGTACGTTGCCATCTCTCATTTGTTTCATATTGTATAGCTTTTGCTTTTGTATATTTTAATTTATATGTAAGGTTCCAAGAATCTTTTTTTTATTATGGTAGCATAAGGACATTTTCATAAAAAGAAAAACTCAGAATTATGTTTTAAAAAATCACATGGAGCCTTACAATCCTGTTACACTTTATTAAATATCATATTAAATGAAAACAATTGACACTTGACAAACCATACATTTTTCATAGTAAGACAAATTACACATTGAATACAATGTAACATTTACTCAACCATACTGCTAACTAAGCTGGCATTAAAGCATGTGGCTATATTATGTATACATACTTAATATTGTTTGATTACCAAACTCCTGTTAAAAAGAGCACCATTTTGTGCCTCGTATAAAGAATCCCAACTAGGGAAAATTTTGTAGGTAGCACTGCAGAAGTGAATGTTCTGAGGCCACGTTCAGGGAATATCTTAATGCAATCTTTCAATTTTTGCTTTAAAAAATATTGCAAGGCAATAATACAGATAAGTGCCTCTATAACTTTCGGTCAAAAAAAAATTGTACCATGATTTGGTGAAGAATGGAATGTAATTCTATTTATATGGTCTCCATATTCCACATTAATCTGTACAGTCCAAATGTCATTTATTCTATTAGGTTACAAAAACAATAATATATTTTTGGGAAATACATACTCTATATGCACCATACATTTATGTGCATGGATGTCCATGCATTCAAATATCACATTGCCTTCACTGTTGAGACGAGCAACATTTCTCCTTAATTAATCAGAAAAATTGGAAATATCTATTCAAAGGTCATTCACACATTGAAAGCAAGACTGGTCCAAAGCCTCCCCAACCATTGTTATATATTTCCTGTGCTTGTTTAATCTTATTCCTAAGAGGCAAAGTACACATTATTCGCCATGACGCAGATGCTCTGCATTTTTGAGCTATTCAAATGGGAATTATATTGAACCAATTTTCCAATGTAACATTGGTAACGAAAACCCTGTAGACCAATTTTCTATCACTATTTCTACATTCTTTATATAATGGAGTTCCTCTTATCTTTCATTATAAGGTGATCTTCTTATGTTTCAAAAGTATTCTCTATCTTCTCATTGAGAAGCTTTCTAAAATAAGGAGGAGTTTAATTAAAAGAACTGGATGTAATTGGAAAGCATTTTTTCTTCCAATACCAACCACAGAAGTCCAATCTATGCATGATTGTTTTTTCCATGACTGCCATATTCCTGGCCATTCCAATAGCACTTCAAACAAACTATTAGGTGGAATGGTTAGATTGCATAGCTAGTATTTACAAATGGGTGAAGACTCCATCCAATTAATCATTGAAGTCTTATTAGAAAAATAGGGAACCCAATTATGGGAAAACAGCAGATAGTGTTATTTCAGTAACATATATACCAAGCCACAATTAACATATACATGGAAAATTAAAAATATGTAATCTTGAATTCAAAGTACCTGAAAAGTGGATAGAAACTGCATTAGGTTTTGGCTCTTATTGAAATTCTGAAAGGCTCAGGGTTGTCATAAGCATTACATAATAAGGGGAAACAGGAAGTACAAATGACATGGCAGAATCTTTTAGAGTTAGAATTCAGTCCTGTTGTAGTCAAAAGCACAGGTGTTAGATGCAAAATCCATGCAGAATCACAGTGGAAGTAGCTGCAAAATATAAAATCCCTTGTTACGCATTGTTCAGAATAATTTAGAATTTTGTTTTTATCGCCAACATAAGAGTTACATAGTTCTGCCTAAACTGATCTGCAAAGCCATAAGAGTGATGAAATGGCTATGTAGGGCAGGATAAAAGACCATATTTTGACCATAACCCAGAAGGAACTTTAGGGTAAAACTTGTACAGGTTTCCATTATGCACTAAAAGAGAATAGAGATGAAAATAAAATTGTATAATTACTATTTGTCAAATCATAGATTTGAAGAGATTCCTTCCTCCCCCCCCCCCCCCCCCCCCCCCCCCCCCCCCGCAGCAGCTGTATGATTGCACTGCACAATGTTGGAGATCGCACTATAGCTACATATTTCAATTTACATTCCAGTGATAATTCCTCACCACTATCACTAAAATTAGAACTATAATAAAACCTAGCTAACTTATCCACTTCAAGTAATTGATCTTCTACCATAATTTTAGTGCCTTAAGGAAAACCATACAGAAACTTTAAGAAACAAAATAGAGATTCTATACCAGTGCACTATTTTCTTTAGTGTATAAATGTGAACTAATACCAAAGACAACAACACTGGATTCAAATGGATTCTATAGAAAAGAACTAAGGGCAAATAAAATATATTGAAAAACATATGGATTTTAAATTTGAATGTGTTTTATATATATTATCTTCCATGTACAATTACATCTTCCAAGTCCCAAACCCTTGCCTTCTGCTGAGTTTTGAAAAATCACCTCAAATAAATCATGATTTATTCTCTGCAGATTGCTTTAGTTGTGCTAACTTCTAAGGGTTGTCATTGTGCTTTGGAGAAGGTTGCAAAAGGAGCATTAATGATTCCCCTTTTTGTTTTTCATGAAGTTTCTTGGTTGGATATCAAGGCCCATTCCAAAATACAGAGATCTGTAGCTTAAACAGCTACTCCCACCAAAAAAATTAAGAGGAGAAAATTGAATTACTAATCAATACACTCTAAGAGATGGATTTCCAGCCTCCAAATTCTAACTCCCCCTTCATCCTTTTAAATCAAGAACTTATATTAAAAGTCAAATTCATTAATTATTTTCAAATTGTAAGAGCTGGCCAATATATTCAATGGCATCAGGAACAATTTTTGAAAGAATCTCATAAAATCTAAGTGTACATCCTAAACATTTGATTTACTGTGAATAATAAGGTGCTAGGCATTTAACCCATTGAAGGAAATAACTCAGTGAATTACTTTCTACATGAAACCATTGTGCATTTAATATGGAGAGAAATGGTTTCATCTCTCTTTAAGTTATTACAGAAATTTACAGAAATCGATCTTCCTTTGATAGTTTTGTTAATTCTCAAATTTTCTTTCCCCATTTTTTTACAGCACTGAAATTTTTTTAGATAGATAACCTTAAAATAGCCAAGTGAATATATGATCTAATTTGAAAAATACTACACAGAAAACAAAGATTAATACATTCTTGTTAAGTCCAAAATGTTTCATTGGATTTTTGATTACTTGTTTCCATGGATATAAAGTTTTAAAGAAAGGTGGCAAAGCTTGTTCAGGCAGGACAAAAACATTTATTTTAATTTATATATAATTGTTGGGAATAGTGTAATAATAAAATCATATTGACAAAGGTTCCCTTGTATTAAAAATTAGTCTTTTGCAAAATCATGTATTCGCCAGATCCAAGTAATAAGATGCTTTCAGTTTACAAAGCAAATGCAAACTATAAAACATATCCCTGTTTTCCAGCTTTTATTTATAAAAGCATTTCCATAATTGAATTCATATATATGAATGAATGAATGAATGAATTTCTTAGAAATTTGTTATACTATGGAAAATGTAATTTTCTTTTATTTCAGGAAAATTTATTCTTCCTCATCTACAATAACATTCTACTAGTCATGTTAGGGGTGGTATGTAGAAGGCAAATCCAACTACTGCCTCCACTAATTCCATTTCCCTTTCACCTTTTAAGAAAGGAAGAATAGTAATTCCTTATTGATTAACAATGTAAAAATTAAACAGGAAAATCAGCTGTATGAAAATGCATAATATAGTGCTTTTGTCCCTACCATCTTAATATCTTAAAAAAATAACTGGAAGAGTCCTTTGGTTAGAAAAAGAAAGTATTTTGAATTTGGATGATTATTCAAGGCTAATATTTCTAATGGCTCATTCAGCAACTAATCATAGTGTTATTCAGCACTATCATAGTGCTTTTCCAAATGTAAACTCATTTTTTTCTTCATCTTCTCTAGTTTCCTTCTTAGAAAATATTGTTGAAGCAAGACATATGAACAAGTTGAAATATAATCACAAAAACAGTATAACAATAACTCCCTTTTCTCAAAAGGGCATAAAGTGTATATATTTGCCCATTTATGTCACTTTATTCAACATAGGCAGAGTACCCAAATTCTAACTAAGATGCATTTATTGCCATGGTCAAATTAAAAATACTACATTTACTAGCAGTAAAAAAAATGAGCAAAATTAAAAGACACTGACTGTCACAACATATCTGTAGCCTGTTTCAGCTTAGAAATTTGATGAATCTGAAATGAGTGGGACTTCCCAATGAATAAATACACTGTTTCATGCCATGACTGCCTTTTAGCTACAGATAATATAAAGGAAGTTGTGAACACCAAAGGTGTTGCCTTACTATATTTAAGACATTGCTGGTGAAACTTAAACATTTTCACAAAAGTATTTATACTGCAGTCAAGTAAAAGTAATAAAATCAAACACAAAAGACTGAGGAAAAAAAGCCAATTATGCCACACATCAATAAATTTTCACAAACGTCTGTCAAATCACAATGTATCAAAATACGTGCAGTACTTTAAATAAACTGAGAAGGAGTGGGGAATCAGATCTTGTCAGCATAATTTTTCTTGTGATTGAAATCCAAGAAAGGAAGCAGATAATGGTGCCTTTATAATGTTGACTATATCTTGTTTGTTTGTTTTTTTCTCTTCTCTAGACTGGTGATCTTAATTCCTATAATGAAACAACAGAAATTAGAGTAAACATTATGATGAGAGGTTGTTTAATAATGATAAAACAATCGTATCCTGTTCTTTTAATGTTAACCAAAACGAACATTAAAAAATTTAAGGATAAGATTCAGATTTGCAAGCCTCTCTTCAAAGCCAAATGCCCAATTCCATAAACTTACAGAAATATTTTATTTATTAACTATAGTTGATCTGTTTCTTGATTCGATAAGCCGCAGAGTAATTTGCCACAGAAATCATTTCCATCCGCACAATGTTAAAATAAAAGCCAGCCAATCATAAATAAAATCGAAGCAACAACTCTTCACTAAAGAAAGTTATAATATTCAATCTGTATTAGAATGATTATTAGACTTTCTGGAAAAGCCATGTTTTAATGACTTTATGGGAAAAAAAATATGGTGGGAACCAATCTAATCATACAAAGAACAATGTTTCAAAAAACTAAACAAAACAGGCATTCCTTCATGGAAGAGATCTCAAGGAACTCCACCATTTCCAATTCTATTGGGCAGGAAGAAATCATTGGGAGAACATTCCCTAGATATCTAGGTCTTCTGAAGGCTTGGTTTTAAAAGTAAAAAAAGTATGTTAAAAGTAATAAAAAACCCTGCATATTAAACTGCATCCAAACTGGTAACCAGTGTAGCTCTAGCAGTAGAGTGAAATATACAGGTGAAACTCGAAAAATTAGAATATCGTGCAAAAGTTCATTTATTTCAGTAATGCAACTTAAAAGGTGAACCTAATATATGAAATAGACTCATTACATGCAAAGCAAGATAGTTCAAGTTGTGATGTGTCATAATTGAGATGATTATGGCTTATAGCTCATGAAAACCCCAAATGCACAATCTCAGAAAATCAGAATATTGTGAAAAGGTTCAATATTCTAGGCTCAAAGTGTCCCACTCTAATCAGCTAATTAAGCCATAACACCTGCAAAGGGTTCCTGAGCCTTTAAATGGTCTCTCAGTCTGGTTCAGTAGGAAGCACAATCATGGGAAAGACTGCTGACCTGACAGTTGTGCAAGAAAATCATCACTGACACCCTCCATGAGGAGGGAAAGCTGCAAAAGGTAATTGCAAAATAAGTTGGATGTTCCCAAAGTGCTGTATCAAAGCACATTAATAGAAAGTTATGTGGAAGGGAAAAGTGTAGAAGAAAAAGGTGCACAAGCAGCAGGGATGACCGCAGCCTGGAGAGGATTGTCAGGAAAAGGCCATTCAAAAGTGTTGGGGTCTTTCACAAGGAGTGGACTGAGGCTGGAGTCAGTGCATCAAGAGCCACCACACACAGACGGATCCTGGACATGGGTTTCAAATGTCGTATTCCTCTTGTCAAACCGCTCCTGAAAAAAAAATGTCAGAAGTGTCTTACCTGGGCTAAAGAAAAACAGACCTGGTCTGTTGCTCAGTGGTCCTCTTTTCTGATGCAACTTTTGCATCTCATTTGGAAACCAAGGACCCAGAGTCTGGAGGAAGAATGGAGAGGCACACACTGCAAGATGCTTGAAGTCCAATGTGAAGTTTCCACAGTCTGTGTTGATTTGGGGAGCCATGTCATCTGCGTTGGTCCACTGTGCTTCATTAAGTCCAGGGTCAACGCAGCCGTCTACCAGGAGATTTTGGAGCACTTCATGCTTCCTTCCGCAGATGAGTTTTATGGGGATGCTGACTTCATTGTCCAGCAGGACTTGGCACCTGCCCACACTGCCAAAAGCACCAAAACCTGGTTCAGTGACCGTGGGATTACTGTGCTTGATTGGCCAGCAAACACACCTGACCTGAATCCTATAGAGAATCTATGGGGCATTGCCAAGAGAAAGATGAGAGACATGAGACCAAACAATGCAGAAGAGCTGCAGGCCACTATTGAAGCATCCTGGTCTTCCATAACACCTCAGCAGTGCCACAGGCTGATAGCTTCCTTGCCACGCTGCATTGAGGCAGTAATTGCTGCAAAAGGGGCCCAAACCAAGTACTGAGTACATATGCATGCTTCTACTTTTTAGAGGTCCAATATTGTTCTATGTACAATCCTTGTTTTATTGATTGCATGTAATATTCTAATTTTCTGAGATTATGGATTTGGGGTTTTCATGAGCTGTAAGCCATAATCATCACAATTATGACAAATCACGGCTTGAACTATCTTGCTTTGCATGTAATGAGTCTATCTCACATATTGGTTTCACCTTTTAAGTTGCATTACTGAAATAAATGAACTTTTGCACGATATTCTAATTTTTTGAGTTTCACCTGTAGTAAAAGCAACTTCTTGGTACTATATGAGCCACTGCATTCTGAATACTTGATTCTCTGAGGTGGCTTTTAATGTCAGACTCATTATCTGCTTTGCCCAAAAAGTAAAAAAATTCCCAAGTCCTCGAAGAAAGATTTTTTTTTCTTGATCTAGAGTTAATAATAAGTATAAAGGTTAAATTAATTTTATAACTGATATTGTATGGAACTTTTTTTTGCCTCTGAAGTTTATTTCCTCTTGTGTTTAGTTTAACCTCTGTAATATGTATGTAGGTGTGTAAATATACATATACATATACATATACATCTATATCTATCTATCTATCTATCTATCTATCTATCTATCTATCTATCTATCTTAGTTTTTTTACTGTATTGTCACAATGTATCATTCATTTTGTCTGCTTAATAACATTATAACATTTTACTTACTAGTGGATGGTGTGACAATTTATAAAACCATCAAATCATGTACATATATTTTATAGCATAAAACAATTTGTCTCACAAATTAAACAAATATTTTCTTACTCATATAATTAAATACTGCTGTGCAAAATGGAAAGGATTTGATTTTAAATATTAATTCAAGCAATAAGAAGGGAAAGGGACATTAATTTTGGAATATTTGCCATCAGTTTAAAAATGTTTTCAAATTAGAGTTTACTAGCTCTTTTTTCACACTACTAAACAGAATTTATCTGGATATTCCACCACCACCCCCCTTGAAGAATTGAATGGGGCAAGGCTGTCCCAGTGGCTTAGCATGCAAAACACACACACAACTTTCACAATACGGCTACTGCTGCATCTTGCAATCACATTTTATTGTTCTTTTAAAAAGCAACTGATAACAAATACATGCCACATTTCTCCTGTATTTAGTATGCCACCCAATTAGATTCTGTTAGGAACACTGTAAATGCCACTATGCCTGATATGCTCAATAGTAATTTTATTTTGCTGATAGTTTACTAAAGTCATTTTCAGTGCTATTGAAAATCATTTTATTTTTAACTCCTTGCAATACATATTAATGAATTAGATCACCAATTCCCATAACACAACTTCTTTCTGACCCACATTGGCCTGTGAACCATTTTTTTAAAAAAATTAATTTCTTAAAACCAACTGTCAGCATCATGTGATGGAAGAGATGAAAAATGAAAATGAGTAATCCTGCTGTTCAGGTGACTGACCTATGGGAGACAGCTCTGCCTGGTAGGATTTTTATATGTACCATCAGACACAGACCAATTGATTAGATCATCTTATTCTAGCCACCAACCAGGCTCCAGAGACTAATTAGAGAGAGTACTGCCTGCGCAGACACCCCATTGACACCTAATTTGCTCAGCGAAGGCCTTTGGGGGGAATTTATTATCTCTGCAGCTGTACTTCATGCATTTCTGATTTGAGACAGAGGCAAGAAGCACTTACTTCATCATGCTTCTGAACAAACTGAATGTAAGAAACTTAAACTGCTAAATACAAGCAAGCACAAATTAAACCTGGCTAGCCTTAATTCTGCTTCTCTCCTTCAATTCATGATGTATATATCTGATGCAGATCAGCACAGTGCCTTATATATTCTCTACAAACAGACAGCCCAACTTATCAAAAGATTGTCCTTTTTCCTCCAGACATTTTTATTTAGTTATATATTATTTAATACTAAATGTTTCATGTAATATTTAGTTATTATAATTGCCTGTTTTATGAATTTCTTGTTAAAAGTAATATTATTTTTATTCTGCTTAATGTTCAAGGAGTTTTAAATAATTTTGTTAACATTTACTGTAGCTAGATTTTCCTTTGAAGTTGTAGAAATATTATCAGCAATATTAAATTAACGTGTTAGTAGTGATAATTGGCCCACTGCTCAAGAAACATTGTTGGATCTGACTGCTGGACAATTTTTTTCCAGTATCTAACCACTCTTTTTGGGAGGAAGGTTATGGAGAAGATAGTTGGACAGAAGTTGCATCAGACCTAGGATGAAGCAGATTATTTGTATCACTTTCAGTCAGGCTTCACACCTGGGTATTGGTCAGAGAAAGCATTGGCTGCATAGTTGTATGATATGTTTTGGATAATCTCTGGCAGAAACAGGGCAGGAGTCGTGCACCTGTTCTTGCTCTTATCCCAATGTACTTTTTTCAGGAGGCAACGGGACTTTCTTGGGGGTTTCTTCCTTTGAAATATTTTACTTCTCATCCGAGAAGCTTCTTCAGTTCAGCTTCTTAAGAAAAAATCCAAGGAAATCCAATTGCTTTTTGGAAAAAGCACTTTTGGGGCAACCATACCCTGAATGGTTTGGAATCTTTACGGATATTTGTCCTTGCTCTTCTTGACTTCTTGGTGGTTTTTAATAGTATTCATCATGGTATCCTTCTAGATCACTCCAGGTAGAGAATGGATGGAAGAATATTCTACTGATTTGCTTCCCCTGATGGGCCAATACTAGTCCGTGTACACATCCCACCTCTTTGTGGAGTCCGAAGTTAGATATTCTCTGTTAGTATGGGTAATATATCATCAATACACCATGACACATTATATACATTACTTCAACATCTCAGTTTTACAATATTATAGTCAATATTATACATCTCCATTCTGGGAAAATTAAGTGATGCTGCTGAAGACCTGTTCCAATGCTTGGAGGCTTTAGGATTCTGGAGGGAGGTACAACAGGTTTCAGCTGAGTTCTAGAAA